TCTTCGCTCTTGCTCTGGTTGACATTGCGAAATTGCGTTGCTTAGAAGATTTCTGCACCTGCTGAAGCACTTTCAACTGAGTTATAACGCAGGTGGGGGTTCTTGAAGTCGCTCGAAATCTCCGACTTTCTTGGTTTACCTGCCGGAGTTGGGGTGTTTGTCAGTGTTCCGGCGGCCATGTTTTCGTTGAGAAAATTGGTTGGATGAACTCGGTATGAGGGCGCTTTCGCATGGCTGGCTTGCAGAGCTGTGAAGTTCAAAGTTTGTCCTTGGGCTCCACATGGCGATCCTAACGGCAATCTGAAACTACGTTCCGAAGCTGTTGTCAAGAAAGACTCTAACATCGTTGGTTGATCACACTGGCCAAGTATCCTTGGATACCGAGGAAAATGGCTGGAAGCGGGGCGACCTGGAAAGAGCCTGGCATGAGCGCTGGACGCCGCTCGGAATGCAGCAAGGTCACCGGGAAGAGATCGAAGACAGCAATGATGTGTTTTGCTTGTAAAGGCCTCGATACGAACAAGGGTCGAGGAAGCCAACGCTGCCAGATGCGGTTTGATGCGAAAACGTTGGTGGAATTTGTAGCTGTAACTTGTTTTTCTTTTGGATATCATTTTTTCCTGCCTACCCGGCCTACTCCCACTACCCCACCTGCCCCACCTACCACCTACCCCACCTATCCCTAACCAACCCAGGAGTGAATCCAGCAGAAACCTTTTGAAAACACCCAAACCCTGAGGAGTGAATCCAGCAGGAACCCTTGGCCGAAGACGAAAAGCCCAAGGAGGGAATCCAGCAAGAACCTTTTTGAATCCAGCAGGAACCTTTGACCGAAAACGACAACCCTAAGGAGAGAATCCAACGACAACCTAGGAGTGAATCCAGCAGGAAACCTTTACCTAAGACGAAAATCCTCGCGAGTGAATCCGCTAAGGAGTGAACCCAGCGAGAACCCTTTACCCAAGGCGACAACCCTAAGGAGTGAATGCAGCGAGAACCTTCTACCCGAGACGACAACCCTAAGGAGTGAATCCAACAGAAAGCTTTTCCGAAAACGAAAACGCGAAGGCTTAATCCAGCAGGAAGCTTTTCTCGAAGGCGAACGCCTAAAGAGTGAACCTTGTGTGATGGTTCTGGTTTGGTGCGAAATACAACACCAGAATTCTGGTCTGGTGATCAATATACCAGAAAAGTTAACACCCCATAAAAAGTTAGTGGCTTGGTGCTAAAGACACCGAAAAAAGCATAACCAAGATGCATGTTTTGCCACCCTCCGCAGAGATTTGCTGTTTTTGGAGCCGAAAAAAGTTGCAACTCAGTAATTTTGTTGAAGAGGCTGGAAAGTTATAGGTAAGAGAAAAGGTCACAACTAAGTGTTCTAGCACTTATGGCGAACACACCGATATTGTGCGAGAGAGAGAGAGAGAGACAAAAAGGGATTGCAAGAATCACTGTTGAATTCGGGGAGAACTGACCCACAACAGCCATAACATTTGATGCCCTCCAAAACGGCCTACCTGGTACCAACAGAATTCGCGTGATTTGAAGCTTGTGGTGCCTGGAACTGCCAGGACCGTTGTATGGCTACGGAGTCTACTGCGCCGATGCTGAGCTCAAGATACAGGCTGCAAGTTCAGAGTTGCACACGAACCGTGGACCGTCGAGATGCTGCAGATTCTCGTGTTGGATCCACTGTTGCTATCCTGATTCTTTTGGAAGGATGAAGTGGGGCAAGCAGCAGTTCTTGAATCTACAATGTGCTAGCCAGTGGACGCGTTCAGGCGTGCGGACGTATGGACTTTGCAAAGTTTTGCAATGTTGCAATGCTGTTCGAGCAGATATGCATGCCTGGCGCCTCTCCGGCACGAAATCCGCAATCGCAAACTCTACTTGACGTATGTTTCTACTGAAAAGATTGGCCCAAAAACCCTACGGCTTGATTCGTGCTCCAAAGCTGCAGTACCTGCAGTAATGTTGTGGAAGGCTTGAACAAAAATACTTTCTGCTGGCCATCGCCTGCAGCACTCCACTCGTAGTTGGATGCATCTTGGTTGGATCGGCTTGAAGGTGGAGCGATTCCAGGGCTCATGGAAACTTGCCAAGGAGAGCTCCACCAAGGCCGACGAGTATGCAGAGGACCGGCAGGGCCTTCCTTCGCACCGGGATCAGAACTGCGGTTGCAAGTTTGGGATGCCTAGCAGGCTGTGCCTCTATCGAGCACAGTGAGAAACCCGCACACTGGAGCAGTTCCTTGCTAAGCCAGCGCGAGGAGATCCGTGGCGGGCTGCCCAGCGATGAAGGCATAGTATCAGCTACTGAACCCCAGCAGAGTCCTCCGGTTTCTTTCAAGCTGTCTTGTTTCTGGGTCACCTCCCATGTATTCAATCCAATATGTTTGGTGTTAGTCGTGTGTTTGCCTCTCAGGTACGGCATTCTTTGTCAACTCTACCAGTTATTAGTGAACTTGATTTCATCTTGTTGCACTTCTTATGAAAGCTGTTTTCCGAAGACAGGACCGTCAAGTCTGAAAGAGAAAAACGTCTGCAAATTCTACTCATGGAAGGATTTCCGATACACTAGGTTTCTCAAGCTGACCTGATAGGCTGGATGCGCACGTTGCAGTTGGTCATGATGTCCGGGTGTAGACGCGTCAGCGAAACAGTACGCGTCTGAGGCCAAGATATATTGAGCAAGGGAGCGACAACAGCCCAACCAGGGAAGTCACGCTACTATCATGCAGCGCTGTCGACTTTACTGCCTAGCGCCAACCGCCTCCGCACCCGGAACTAGCAGGATGTGCAGGACTCCAGCTCAGAGCCAGCCGTGCAAGCTATGGCCGATTGGCTCCGACATGTCCCAACCTGAGACCCCCTCCCGATCATCCGAACTGGGGCGAAATTGAAAGATTATGACAGGTTGCCATGCGATGCTTGTGTGCCGTGTTGTGGGCGGCCTTTGTCGCATCGTGGATCCTTTGTCGCAGATTCCGGTGCTGTGCTTCTTCCAGTAATGTTTCTGGTCTGGGGCCCGCTACACTTGTGGATTTGCTTGGACGTGTCACGCTCCTGTACAATCACCGTGAAGAGCTTCGCGGCTTCGACCCGCAGGCAGAATTTCAGAACAGAGATTGCGGGAACAGAATTGGAACATCTTTAGTTGCACGAACGCCGTAAGGACACGAATGAGTTTGACCCAGACGACTTGCCAATGCCTCAGCTGCTGGCATTCTTGCGAGTGCGAGCCCATTCTCTGTATATCCGGCTCCTTGTGCTTGCGCCATCTATTGTTACAACGAAGGAGGCATAAAGACTTGTCATGAAAAGTCTGCTCGTGAGCTATCAGTGTCGCAGTGCCAAAAACGTGGCTGCGAGCATGACCCATGACTTGAACACTTATGAGAGCAAGTAGGTTGCAACTGGCAGTTGTCATTCGAGGGGTCCACCGCGATCCAACGTTTGCGGTGACCAGGTGAAGCCTTGTTTTCATAGATCTCCAGCGATAAAGGTCGTAGACTTCAACCCCTCTCGCCAACGCTTGCAGTATCAGGGGTATATCATCCTGGCCCAGCATCACGACCCGGGTTTGACAGCCTTACTCTAGATGTTTGTCAGGTCTTGGGGAGAGGTTTCTGAATTTCTACACGTCTCGTGCACAAACTCATACACCCTCTTCGGATCCAAGGCGGCAGGATGTGCTGGATGGCCCGTACCATTCCGTACTTGGCGATCGTGTTGTGAAGCTGAAGATGCTGGTCGTGCAAGAAGTGTTGCTTTTCGCTCAGGTCACCCGTGTGCACATCTAAGCGTCCAGAAGTCGGGCTGCAGGCAACACCACCAACAACCAATCACACACGAAACCACTTGGCTTGAGACCCTGCTGGCTCCATTTGATCATGACAGTGCTGCCATGTGAGGCGAATACACAACATGAGATGCACAGTGGCACACTGAAACATGCATTTATCTGCGTGCATACAGTTCCCGATGATTGTTGCTGGACCTAGCTTGCATCAGTCAGGAAGCCATTCCGAGAGATCGTTGCTGGATGCTTGGGTGAACGACATGCGCCCTGTGCGTTGCAAGAGCCTCTTGCTATTGTCCACTTCATGAAACGGGTCTTGGATGAAAGGCCTAGCAACTGCAACTGCTCCTTGCTTTTTGTTAGGAGGTCTGCAAATGGGTCCAGCCGATTCTTGCCGGTGGGTTATCATGAGCATGCGAAAAGAAACGGCACCTCAGGTCCATGACAACAACCAGATCTTCCCGGAGTTCATTCTGTACTACAAGAGGCTCACCACTAAGCATGAGCGCCCCTTTCTTTTGGTTTTTTGATTGAGCTCGTGGACACATGAAATACCAAGAGGATCATGTAGGCACCTGGCCCCCAACCCGCGGAAGCCTGTGCTGCAATTGCGCAGCAGCTTGCCTTGCCTGGGACGTTTTCTCGGCTTTTGTGCGTGACACACCCTTTGATGAACCCTGACTGTATGACTCAGGCTGGGCATTCCAGAGTGAGCTGCGACAGCAATACCATGCAGAGTTGCAGTAGCCTCATGTCCAACTTCCGCTCATGCCGCCAAAAATGTGAGCGAGGCCAGCAGGGTAGTTCACGTGCACTGCATTGGCAAAGCGACGGAGCACAAGGCCTCGCAAGCTGAAAAACTAGAAGATGTACAAAAAGGGTTGAGAATGGATGCTGCCTATTCTGCGACATCTTGTGAGGGCGGCCACACAGGCAGGCAGGCCTTTTGCGACCCGACTTGATTTCTTGCTAACGCAGATAAGCATGGTGATTCGCATGCTGCTTTGAAACTTTTGCCACCTTTCCAAGACGGGTAAATTGCACGGTGAGCTGCAGACCCACATAAACGGAAGCCGAGGCGTGGCCCTTCTTGCGTTCATGAGCCTTCTGACCACTTGCTAAACATCGCTTGTGCCAACCCGCATGTCGATCCTGAAGCTGACAGCAGTCAAACGGTGATGCTCTTGACATGCACCAAGGCAACAAATGATGATGGGAGGTATGATGCCGGGACTAATGCCCTCGCCTTATCTGACAAGGGAGTTGTTACGTATATTGCACTCCCGGTACATGTATTTGCGTAGCCCATCATTGCAGATCAACGACAGCGATCTCAGAAGCTGGTGCTGCTTGAAATCTGTTTCCAGTGCATGTACGAAAATGTACCAACCTTCCCGTGGCGCTTGCAAACAAAGTCTCGAGTGTATCCATGCCTGTCTCTGCCGGAACGGTAATTGTCAGGCCTGGGATGCCAGGACTTCCTGGGATGCTGCGGGCTCAGAACCACTTTGGAACCCGTGATTCTGTGGTGGAAGGAAGGGCAGACACCAGACTTAAAGAGCTCGGTCCATGTGCCTTGTAAGTGCCGTTCAGGACTCATGCAACATCAAACATCAGGTCAGGAGTTCCACGAGATGAAAAACCGCAGAATGTATCGAAAATTGCGACTTTGTTCAACCTGCGAGAGAAGTCAGGAGTGTGGAGCGACTTCTATTTGCATCGCGGGGGATTTGGAATTTGCAGTTCATGTCGCACACGAAAGATATTTAGCTTCCTAGTCAGGCACTGCTGGAAAGCATGATGTTCATGACCTGAAAGCGGCAGGTGGCTGCTCTACTGCTGACTACTTACTGCTTACGCTTACTACCAGTACCTGCTGCTTACCACTTGCTACTGGCTACTGGCTACTTGCTTCTACTTGCTGCCACTACTACTACTACTACTACTACTACTACTACTACTACTGCTGCTACTGCTACTACTACTACTACTACTACTCCTACTACTCCTACCACTACTACTCCTACCACTGCTGCCACTACTACTGCTGCTACTACTGCTGCTACTACTGCTGCTACTACTACTGCTGCTACTACTACTACTACTACTACTACTACTACGGCTACTACTGCTACCACAGCTACTTCTATTGCCAGTTCCAGTGCTTGTACCAGTACCAGTACGAGTACCAACACTGGTACGAGTACTGGTACTAGTACTACTTCTACTTCTACTTCTACTACTACTACTACTACTACTACTACTTCTACTACTACTACTACTACTACTACTACTACTACTACTACTTACCATTGCGAACACCATTGTGATGAAAGCTCCGGCTTGTGTTGACGACGAGGACACGGATGCAGACGGGAGCCAATAGTATCATGCGGTGCTGTAGGGTGTTGATTCCAGAATATCACGCATTCCGCCTCAGGCCGGCCGTTTCGGAGCAGCAGACCACGCCAGCTGCAGCAAAGCTGAGAGCCTCACAGCCAGCTGTGGCCCAGGCTTCGAACTTCCGTTTCAGGGTAGACGCAGGGCTGCTGGGGTTTCGGATTTGAGGCGTAGAGGTCTTCGGAATTCAGGATGTTGGAGATATAGGCTGTCCGCCCTCCAGAGTGTACTTGGGGCCGTCGTTCCATGCGACTGACACCTGAACTTTTATGATGAGCCGTTGTGTTCTTCGTGATATTCATGCTCTGGCATCGGGGTTGAACTCCTACTCGTGCGAAGGCTGCGAGCCAACACTCCGGTTCAGACAGCTGATTCAAGCACCATCCAACCCCAGTTTCAAGCACCATGTTCCATCACCAGATTTCTCAAGCAACATCACATCTCGGTGCTTTTGAGGAGGTGCTTAACCAACCTAAGGTCTCTACATCTAGCACATGTTTGTACTATAGCATATACAGTGACTTCTCCTTTCGGGTGCACTGGTTTGCCAATCGTATCATTTGAGGGCCCCTTCAATCCCCATCATTCGAGATTCGTCAGTGCTTCACTGCATGTAGGCAGCCGAACCGGAAGCGCTGCCGTCTGCGCCAGAGGCAGTCATGACTGGTCTCCACTTGTTTGGAGACATCGTTTAAAGGGCTTGAATCATGCATGATCGGCCTCGGGGTCAGGGAGACGTGTGCTTGTGTGAAGGCCAGTGCTGCTAGTGTTTAGGATCCTATGCTGTGTTTACTCGGCTTAACCATTGAGTGTAATTCTGTTGAGTTCTGCTGACCTCATGTCGCCCTGTTGGCGTCATGCGTTTTGAAAATGCAGGGAGAAGGAGAGACTAGATATGATATCCAAAGATGCCACATGTAGCTGACTAGCAGCTTCGAGCCCTCAGAAATCAGGGGTTTCTGGTGTAAAGATGTCAAGGCCCAACGGCACTCTTCTCCCTCAGCACTGTATCTGCAGTCAACTTGAGAGTGAATTTAGCCCAACTTCCCCACGGGTCTGTCTGACTAGCACACCATCTCTGCTCCACCGCCCCCATCGTAAGGAAACCATGTTTGGGCAGGCTGCTCCAGTTGCGAAGGAGCAGGCCATGTCTTGCTTGTGTTGAGGCAGCGCACCCTGGTCCAATCCCCAGCCGACGGTCAGGAGCCACCACCTTCATTAAGCCAGCCAAAGAAAGAGGCTCGAAGAGAAGAGGTGTTCGTGACTGCATGGGTTCCCCTCCTCGCGTGTCACAGTGTCTACACAGGCCACATTTGCCAGTAGCGAGAGGCGTTGGAGTGGCCTGCATGGCTTCGCTTCGGGGCACCATGCGCCTCGCCTGCAACGGCACAACATGTGATGTACAGAGATGATGCGCCTAGCGATTCGTAACGGACCTGCCCTGAGACTTGGCCATTTTTGCCACCTGTCCGTTCTGCGCGAGTGCTGGTAGACGTGTCATAAACACGGATGCTTGTGATTGGAATGTTTGTTCACACAGGTTCGGTTTGCGGCGATGCCAGCACAGCTGATGCCCAGCCCCACGGAGTGGCTTGATGCCCAGCCATGCTTGGCAGCACTTCCGATTATGAAATGTCCAGATGCCGGTGCACATGAAGTGTGCGACTGAGATCTGCCGCCGACGGCGAAAGAACTCAGTTGGTGGCTGTGGAAAGGGTGTTTGTTGGGCCGGGATGCCCAGATGAGACTGATCTCCGAATTGGATTTGGAGAGACAGAGAGTGCACTGGTCACTGGAGTTGTGAGCACGTTGCAGAGATGGAATTTGAAGGCTCTGTTCTCGCCTTGCCAGGACGTGCTATGACCGCAGAAAGAAGATATTACAACTTGTGGCTTTAGATGTTGTAGCTTGTTCTTGGGGTCTACTGTCTTTCGGCAGCAGTCTCTTGCGACGGATCAGTTCATCATGTGCCAGGTTTGCATGGAAAGGGAGCCACGGTCCAAGTTTGGTATGGTGCCTGGCTCGGACGGAAGCTATACCGGCCGCATGACAACCTGGCGCATGGACTTTCTTTGTGCGAAAACTTGCCTAGCCTTCTGTCTCGACTTGGACACTGCTAGAAACTGAGTGTAGATAGCTGTCCTTAGGAGGTTAAGTGTGCGACCAAGCATGGTATCTCTCAGCTCTTAGTCCTTGCAAGTAGCATGGTTCAGATCTGAAGCAGCGAGGTTCGAACGTCTTGCCGGCATGCTTGCTCTGTGGTTCGTAGCAATGCAAGAATGTGCTCCACAGAAGCGAACAACGTCAACATAGCAGTTTCAGAGTTTGAAGTGACATGGGTAGGAAAACTATCGCATACCACTCTATGTTGGAGAAACATGACTGAAGCACTCGTTGAGAACATGAGAAATTACACACCAGGAACGAGTGTTGTTGGCAGGACGAGAGAAGAGTTCGAGTCGTTGGAGGAGTCTGCCTGGTGGATGCACGAAGCGCCCGGCACTCTACATTTGCATATACGTACACATACATACATACATACATACATACATACATACATACATACATACATATATATACATATGTATATACACTTCTATGTGTATGTACGGATATAGGAAATCACAACACGGTGGGCTAGAGCAATACCGAGTGCCGCATGTTGCCTCCATCATGCCATGCCGCAGCTTGCAGAATCGCTTTTAAGAGCTGCAAAACGAGGTGTATGGAGCCGTCGGACTTGCGCGCTTACTTCGGCGGTGAGAAGGACACTACATCGGGCTAGCCTTCTCACCCCACGGCATGCTCATGCAGCGAAAGCCACAACCCGAAAGACGACCTTGCTGCTGTGGAACAGTCCTCTCCTTCCCGAATCACCCATACTTAGTTCTTGCTACCAGCCGAAACAGAAGAGCACCCTGCATCTTGACCATGAGGAAATCTATGGGGTTCGCGTGCATGTAACAGACGAGCAAGCGACGCTCGTGCTTATCCGACCACTGAGCCTTTCTAGTCAAAGTGACGAGAATTGCCGGCGTTTACGGGCGAATCTTCAAATCAAAAGAAGGCGCTGTGAATGAGAAAGCGATGAAAACTGCGAAGGGCACTTCCGCTCGCCGTCAGGAGCTCGCAGAGGCACGAGCGGCAGCAGATGCTTCAGACACCGTCGTCGTGCCCCAAGCGAACATGGCGTGGTGGCTTTCTTCTGGGATCTCATTGCCACGGCTTTGGCACTGTTAGCGAAGGCTGCGTCATGGTTCATCATCTGCAGCTATTAGGCTTTCAGCGGAGTGTTCTCAAGTGCAGCCCAACGCGATCAGTCTCGTCGTCCTGCTCGAACTAATCTGGTTCTTTCTGCTTTGGATCGCGAGGGGCAACTTCGGTGAGATCTAGTACGCACCGACACGAAGGGCACATGTCTGCCGCCACTGCCGCCAGCGTCACATCACACATGATGCGTGAGCGGTAGGCCGCGCCATGCAAGTGCTACTGGGCGCTCCAAGATCGGGAGAACGACCTCCGCACAACCACCGTAATTTCCTTGATCCCAACGCCCAAGGGCTTGAGCTAAGCTACCCCCTTTAGCTTTAGCTTGTACAGAGTGAAGTCAAAACCACTGTGCGACCGCAGCCCTTTTGTGGCGTAGACAAAGGCGTCTACGCTGAGCCCACATAGGTGCCGAAGCCTGTGTTTTAGCTTTCGCCAGGCAGGATCCACAAGTCAAGTGAGCATCTCCAAGCGCATGACCACGGTGGCCATGTCATCTGCACTGTCCCCTACGAAGGCGAGGATGCTTGTAGATGGGACCAAACCCACCAGCACAACCGCACTCAGCACGAAATCTACGAGGCAACAGTGCCCACAGATCAGCAGGTTAATCGCGCAGAAAGCAAGAATGCAGTCCGAAAGCACTGCAGGCACGCGAGCATAACCATTTGACTCGATACAGCGACACACAGACAGCTGCAGCCAGCGCACATGTCATGCCACCTGCAACTGCAAGCATGGTTCGCCGCACTAGGCACTCTCGGATCCCACTTCGTGCCCAGCAAGTGTCCGCCCCACAGAGCATGGACAGAGTCAAGAGAAGTTTAGTGGCAAAGGTGGACTCCCGTCGCTGACAACAGTCTTCTGGGCGTTAGGCCGGCGCATCATGCCGAACGCCCTTGTGCTTTCAACAATTCCAGCAATATATCACTTCGTCCGTTGCATGACCCCTAATTCGAGGCCATGAGAAAAAAGAAAACATGTTTTGCAACTAACACACGGCCAGCGGACCCGCGAAGTGCTAAGATTCAGGAACACAACGACAGGCATTCCAGTTGACAAGTGCCCAACTGGTACCATGAAATCTTCTATTCACAAGCCAGGTGTGGTTGCACTGCAGAATGTGCTGGGCACAAACAGTCACAAACACAATCAACACGACCCTTCTGCAAATACGTGCAGCCAGCACTGCAGATTGGCTTGCATGGCCGGGGCGTCGGAGGGCGCTTCATATAAAAGTTCCTGATTGAGTTGTTTTGTGCTTTCTCCTCGTTCCTCCAGGGTGTCCTACGTTCCTTGCTGAATTGAGCGCTTGGATCCCCCGGTCCATCCGTCAGTTGTACAATGTGTTGTTTGACAAACACCTTGCTTAAGCTGGGTTCATTTCATTTGTCCCCGCCCTTGAGAAATACAGTTTATCCTCTCTCCAAGGTTCCAGACAAAGTCAAGACCAAGGACTGCTTAGTTGAGGGGCGAGTTGCTGAAACTATGTCATGCTCAGGGCTGTCGTTGCGAAGCAGGGGCAACAGCACAGTCTTCCAAACTGGGTCCAATGTATCCGAAAAGGCTGGTGCACACTCGTGTTGAGCATCATGGCTTAGCATGGCGATGCGAGGGGAACGTACACATCACTGCCGAAACGTGACATGCCCGGACAAGATTGCACTCCTCGACATGCAACAAACCTTGCCAGATTGTCAAGCAAATACAGTTTGGCACCGCACAGGCAACACCAGATTCCACTTGATCGTGACAATGTGTTCTTGAGTAGTCTGTCCTTGCCGATTTCATTCCCGAGTTTCACAGGAACCTGGCGTGGACCCTTTGGAGGCTGAGCAGGAGCGCATCAAGAAAATGCCAGCCCGCACCAAAGATCCGAAAGCACGTTCATTTCGCGAAGGGCACTTCGAATCACTAGGTGCTGAGACATGCAGGATGTCCAAGTTCGAATAGCACGACCACGACAGATTTCCAGTGTTTTTTCACCAGCGTGTCTGCTCTCAGGTGAAGGAGCTGAAGGCATACCTCGACAGGCCTGCCGATATTAAGATTGACTTGACAGTCGGCTTCCGGATCAGGATGTGTAGGTCATCAGCGCCTTGCCACGGATGCAAGCCCTGTTGAGTCACAGATCCCAACTGCAAACACATCGCGAAGCACATCCGAGAACTGTGACGAACTGCGGGGAAATGCATGTGGAGATGTCTAAGAAAGATTCATCGAATCAGCACTCAGCGAAAAGGAAGGTCATGAGGCAGGAACTTCCGTGAGGCACAATACCTCTCATGCCGACCTCTTCGAGAAGCCGGATCTCCTTGCTCGCGCACTTGAGGCAACGAAGGCTTTGAAAATACCCTGGCTATCCTGGTCTTGCAAGGAGTTCAGCGGAAGTGTAGAAAAGGACGACAGCCAGTATAGCTTCCGTCGGTCATGCCACAAGATCCTGGCAGGTAGCATTGAAGTCAGGGCCGGAACCACCACCTGGACCAGCATGGATGAACCTCGGCCATGTTATTGCAGGAAATCAGCTGGATCTCCTGCTTGCGAAACCGGCGGCCAGAATCGGTTCCTCCAATGTAGGCATTGAAAAACAGCATGAACTGTACGATGATGAAACCTGGTTGTTGAAATTGCAAAGCTTCCCTGAGCCTATCGCAGCCTCACTTGTAGCGGGTCTTGATGCCGGTTCATCATCCTTGGCTATCCTGCTGGCTTCCGACAAGATGAGATGTAAGATGTTTGCGCAAGGCTTTCGGATTGGAAGCTGTGCTTGCATGTTGGCATCACTCCAGCTGCCATCATGATGCACCACTCCTGCCAGGTTTGCATGTTCAGGGACCAACTGTATTGGAAGAGCTTGCGTGACAGGGACGATCTTCGAGCAACCACCAAACATACATACATTCCAGGTTAGTCTGTGATTTCTGTGACATGTTTATTGCTGTAGGGTGCTTGTGAGGAAGTCGGGCGACATTTGCCGCTTGTGTGGGAAGCCGCAGACGCAGGTCATCGGAAGAATTGTGAGAGTTTTTGCTTTCTGTCTTGTCTTCTTGACGCTACTTTACGCATGCATAATGCGCCTCTAGTCAACGACAATGCTGCGCATACCTGTGTCTACTCACATCTTCTGCTGAGTGCGTTTTATTCTCCATTGTCTGTCGTCTAAATTCATGCGATAGCGATCGCAATGTGGCAGAAAACAAGGAGAGAATCATCCGGTGACAGGTGGGTTCAGAGCGAGCAAGCAAGCATGAAGCCAATGCGGACCCTGAGCTGGCAATGCCTCCGGCGCACGCCCAATGTTTGCAGTCAACTTTAAAATGCTGAGCCCCACTTCGCGACAGTCAGGGATCTGATTTCATGATCAGCATCGACGAAGCCAAACAAAACCAAGAGTGGAGGACATGCTAAAGTTCTTGAGCAGAAAACAGTTGATTTCCAAGGTTGCTGGCAGTCGCCATCCAGTCTCGATCCGTGTCAGAAAGCTTCTTGCGAAAATTGCTACGCGGTCAGTCATGTTCTCCAGACGTTGGCCGTCGAGCTGAAATTGATGGAAGTCTGCAACTGCAAGCAACATTACGATGATGTTTCACGCTCAAGGCTTGGTCGACATGGACCTCCGGATGTCTTCCGCAGGGGTACTTGGACGACTGGCAAGACTTTGTGGTGCAAAGCTGAAAGATCTGCTATTTCGGGCAAACCTGCAAAATTCGCTGCTGTTTTTTGTGGCTTTATGCGCACAAAGTATCAGCGCAACACGTGTATATCTTGTGCGGAACAAGTTGGGACAGGTGTGGGGCGGTGTCGTAGTGTTGAGCTGGCTTCATTGCGTGCGCGTGATTTGTTGTGAGAGTTTTCTCGTCCACACGCTGAGTCGAAGATATTTGAGGTTTTCTGTTTTGCTTCCGTTTTTGCTTCAGAGATTGAGAAGGCGTCACAGCATCAATGATGTTCGGTCCTCGGGAGCGTGCTGACCGGCAAGAGACGTTTCTGAGTTTTGAACACGACACTACGGGAAACCGATCGTCAAAACATACACCAAGCCCTGAAACAGAAGCTTTACCTTCTTGTGAAAGTCACCTGATCTCTGGAGCTCCATTCTGGGCATGCTCATGTTCAAAAAAATAAATGATCCCTAGCCTTGGGCTCAAGTTGAAAGCTGTGCTTCTAAGTCTTGTGGTCGTCTAACCTCAAACTGACAGCCGAGCCGGGCAGACTTTTGCGCGTTACATGGGTCCTGGTCGTTGACACCACAGGTATTAGACATTTCCTGTGTTGGACAGCTTCGTGATTGTAGGTTGGTTGTGATTATATGAGAATCACGGAAAGCATTTTTGGAAAGAGACCGACAGGGAGGTGCTGACTGGGAGCCGTGGCGTGGCATGCTGTGAGCTGATATCAGGGCAGCACATGTCATTCATTCACATGCCATATGCCATACGAGATCGTCTACCGTGATCATTTGGCAATGAGGCATTCATGATCCTCCACCGGCCGGGTATGTCAAGCATCCAAGGAGACTCAGAAAAGCCTTCATTCATTGCTCCCTCCCTGGAACACGCAGACAATCGGGATCTCATTTCATGTTTTGCTATTTCTGCCTGCACATCAAAGACCAGCAGTTCTTTGTGCCTTTCGAACTTCGCCCGCGCGATTCGGAGGGGGTGAATATGCCGTTTGTGCATGCAACATTTTCTGAACCTACCAAGCATGTTGGACAAGAATGCTGAATGCCCTGATTTTTCCCTACATCTTTGTGTGGGGTTTTACTTTTCTGCTTGGCGTCCGCCGCCCGCCTCCTCCTCCTCCTCCGCGTCCCGCCCACCTCGCGCTGCCCACCCCCTGGAGAGTCCTAGCAGGCGCAACATTTGGTGAAGTCTGCTACACTGTCCCGACCAGACCACCCTGAGCAAGCATGTCCACCTTTGCCATCACATAAAGCCCACCCTCTGCCCTTGAACTGTGCTCAAGGATCTACAAAGGGCCGTTCTGGGAGTTGAACCCAGGACTTCTCGCATCCTGAGCGAGGATCAACCACTAGGCCAAACAGCCAGGTGTTCGATGTCGTGACACGAGCGGTGTGTGCCGAAGACTGATACACTGAGGCCAATTGTGTGAGCGAAGACTGATACACCGACACAAGGAAGAACTGCTTGCAGTGGGCTGCTGCTGGCTTTGGGTTGGAGGCTGCACTTGTGTTGGGTTTTCTGGGCACTTGACTGTGGGTTGGAAGTAACCCGATCGGTTGTGCTTCGTCCGGCACTACTGTTTTTCAACATGGGCAGGACGGGTCATAGCTGACAGGGAAGTCAAGTGAGATGACATTCGACAGAGCCGATGCAATAGTAGAATATCGACACCGAGGGGATTCGAACCCCTGCGGACAGAGCCAAATGGATTTCGAGTCCATCTCCTTAGCCGCTCGGACACAGTGTCTGTGGTTGCACTTATCTAACCTTGGCTGCCCACCTTCTGGGGAGTCCTAGCAGGCACAGCATGTGGTGAAGTCTGCTACACTGACCCGACAAGACCACCCTGAGCGACCATGTCCACCTTTGCCATCACATAAAACCCACCCTCTGCCCTTGAACTGTGCTCAGGGATCTACAAAGGGCCGTTCTGAGAGTTGAACCCAGGACTTCTCGCACCCTGAGCGAGGATCAACCACTAGGCCAAACAGCCAGGTGTTCGATGTCGTGACACGAGCGGTGTGTGCGCGCAGGTCCGAGGTGACCAACTGTGTGCGCGAAGACTGATACACTGAGGCCAATTGTGTGAGCGAAGACTGATACACTGACACAAGGAAGAACTGCTTGCAGTGGGCTGCTGGCTTTGGGTTGGAGGCTGCACTTGTGTTGGGTTTTCTGGGCACTTGACTGTGGGTTGGAAGTAACCCGATCGGTTGTGCTTCGTCCTGCACTACTGTTTTTCAACATGGGCAGGACGGGTGATAGCTGACAGGGCAGTCAAGTGACATGACATTCGACAGAGCCGATGCAATAGTAGAATATCGACACCGAGGGGATTCGAACCCCTGCGGGCAGAGCCAAATGGATTTCGAGTCCATCTCCTTAGCCGCTCGGACACAGTGTCTGTGATTGCACTTATCTAACCTTGCACGCTGGTTTCTCAAGCCACCTGCAATGCATGCAAGGAAGCACAGATAAACCAGGCTGCGATCTTTTGGAACCAGAGATTTGATCCTGTTGTTCTTCTCTTCTTGTTTTTCTATCTCTTCTGATGCGCGCGACTGGTGTTCATGATATGCGGCATAGTTCCACCCTTGATCGTCGCGGTCGGACAATTTTGAAGTTTATTGATTCGTGAAACACTTAATGACACCTGGCTCTGTGGTTCCCTTCTCAGCGGTACGGCCTATAAAATGGCTTCCTGCTCTTTTTACTCTTCCTTTCCTGGTGAGCCAAGACACATTCTTGGTCTCCTTGCTTTCGTGGCTCCTGGCGACGAAAACTTCATTTTCCACAACGCAGAAGGTTTCTTCACATCAACTTCACACAATCCTCGAGGGCGTTTTCAGCAAACACATTCCCCCAGGACGGAGATGCGAATTAAATTCTTAACAGAACAGTAACCTGATGTCCGTGGTGGGCGGGGCCGCGAGCAAGATGATGCAGCCAGCAGAACGTCTATAATCTTAGTCCTGCTTTTTCCCCAAATCTCGGTCTTTTCTCAGAGCCTGTCAGGTCGGCACGTCGAGGTGCGGCCCTAACTAGAATTCCGATGAGTTTAAGAGTCATACGCAAATCCCATGAATGCTGGACTGTATTTGATGAGGCCTGGAACCCGGCTTCAACGAGGCTTCAAATCCTTGCCTCCTCCAAAAAATGCCTACAGAAACCTGCCTTGAGGCTGGCTTCTTCAACAAGGCTTCACGCGCAAATGAACCAGCAGTTTGACGCCGGCTTCAAAAGGCTTCAAATGCACATCCCCTGCGGGCCCAAACTATATTCCCCAATCAGCATATATGGGGCCATGAGTTTGAGGCCGGCTTCAACAAGCATTCATACACAAATCCCTATAGCACTGGACTGTGTTTGCTGTAGCAGTTTGAAGCCGGCTTCAGCAAGGCTTCAAATCCTTGCCTTTTCCGAAAAGGCTACAGAACCGGCCAGCTGCTTAATGACTGCTTGCGCTTTGCTGCACATCCCACATGCTTCTCAGGCATACTGAAATAGCTTCAGAAGCCGCAAACCCTTGCCCTAGTTGCGCTGGGATCACATCATCCTGTCACCTCTGCGCAAGGCAACTATACTGTCCCCAACTCCGCAAAGATTGCGGGAAGGCTCAGGCTAGCAGCAGCAGGCGCACTGCCACCCCGAGCGCGCTTCGGGATTCCTAGCAGGCGCCCCTTCACCCTCCAAGCGCGTTTCGGGATTCCTAGCAGGCACAGCACTTGGTGTGCCATGGTGGCGATTCCTAGCAAGCTTCAGTCGTGATCCACGTCGCTCGGAGTGAGGGTCCACACAACTCGGAATCAGAAACGTGGTGCGCCTTGCAGACATTGCCACCCTGCCTGCTTTCGCAAATGAGCTCAAAACAGTTATGCTTCGTTATGCTTCGTTATGCTTCATGTTTTTCCGTCCTGTGCGTGTGCGCCATGTCGTTCGGTCGTCCTCGCGTCCTGCATGCTCTTAAAACCCTCCACCCCCCCCCCCCCCCCCCCAAAAAAAAAAAATGTAATTGTTTAGGCCCTTACCATCATCATGAGGAGCCCTGGCCCAATATGTGTTTGGGCGTTAAGGCAGACCTTAAGCTCGACCCTCGGATCCCGGGTAGTTGAAAAGGGCCTTAACAAGAAAAAAGAACCCTGAACGGCCCTAAACCTTCTAAGCCCGAAGCCCTAAACCCTAAGCCCTCTAAGCTCTGAACCCTCAACCCTAGACCCTAGACCCTGTAAGCCCTAAGCCCTAGACCCTAGATGCTAAACCCTGTAAAGCCTGTAATCTCCAAACTTTCTCAACCCTAAGCCCTCAACCCTAGACCC